TGATCATTAAGAAATGAATATTAATGATACGCGATAGATTGACATGTGGTCTGAATCATATTCTTAGAGAATATAGTATGTCTCACTGCTATGAATAATTGTTATTCGTGATGGACACATGGATACTTTGGAGAGTATTAGCGTACCCTACCGATAAACCATTTGTTTATGTGTCTATGAGAGTATGTGCGGAATGGTGTAATAGTCCTTTGACATGAGGTCAATACGCAATTCATATTTAGAGTGATTTACATAGACCTAGTCCAACGCTTACGCCCTTATGGATAGACAGGTTCTTGTGTTGGGTAGATCACGATATACATGTAATTGGTTGTTGAGGCAAGATAGGATTCATTCCTCGAATATAGTTTCAAGAAAACACTCGTTTTCTCTATACTGGGTTGATAAAGTCATTGGCCAATGTAGTGAGATGAGATAAAACAATTAAGCTGTTTGGATAGACACACGTTTAAATCCTAAGCTTAATCGAGTGGTTCGTGAGTGAAGGGACTGTATCACTATTGAGTTCTACACTAAAGGTTTGTTTGCTTGTCTATGTAAACGTACTTCATATTTTGAGTTTGTCCTTCGACGCAGTCTAGGAGTTTCGTAAGGATCATAAATTAGATTTATGTCAATATATGAAGGCCTATAGAGTCACACAATATACAATCAGTTTTTTGACTAAGAGTGAATTGAGAGTGTTAAATATTCAATTGGGTTGGAATATTTATTTATGAGTAATGAGATTATTTTCTATTTGATGGAAAATATTTAATTAAGTTAAATTAGATTTATACTTAATTAGTTATGAGATAATTTTCTATTTTATAGAAAATATTTAATTAAGTTAAATTGGATTATTATACTTAATTAAAATATTAATTGGATCAGGTTCAATTACCTATTGGGCTGTAGGATAATCCTAAGACCCATATAATTAGGTTTTGACCTAATTATAAATACCTCATTATCTCTCACAGTCTTTAATCCATGGAACAATCATTAGATGAGAGGAGAAGAGAGACATCGTAAAGAAAACACTCTCTAGCTTTCTGGATCGAGGATTGCTAGCTTCTTCACCGAAAGAGATTCATTGGTGTTAGATCGTGCATCGAAAAATTGGATTGCGTGGATACCATAGTCGAGGACAAAGACGAACAACGATAAGTTTTCGTTAATCATTCACGCGATCTAGGATCATATCGAATGGCTATAGCCGGATCTTCGTTATTGGTAAGAAAAAAATTAAAATTCCCCTGCGTGTGCGATTGATTCGTACGTCAAAAATCCAACAGATCGGATATAGTGTTAGCTAGGCTAGGAGGGAGTCCAAGTAGAATAAGTTCAAGTTGCACTTTGTGTGCGCAAACCGATATATCAATGAAAGATCTCTGAGGGATAGTGGGACGATCCCCGAAGACATATGATTTTTTTTTTGTGAAAATAGCTATTTTCACCTCGTTTTGAAGTCCTGCTAAGTTTTTCACACCGCCTAATAAAAAACTAAGTTTTTCACCCCAGAAAGTGCGAAAGTCATTGTGCGATGAATATGCGACAATTGCGCGATGACATTGTGCAAAAGTTAAAATTGCGAAGGCATTCGCATATCCATTCGCACTTTCTGGGGTGAAAAAAAGTTAAAGTGCGAAGGCATTGTGCGATAAATATGCGACAATTATGCAATTGATATGCGACAGTTATGCAGTCCATTCGCATAACATTCGCACTTTCCGGGGTGAAAAACTTAGCTTTTTATTGGACGGTGTGAAAAACTTAATGTATCTTTGTATTGAGGTAAAAAAAATCCCATTTTTTTAATCGCTTCCGCTTTTAAATTTATTTTTCTGTGTTGCAAAACAATTTCGCAATACAAAATTTTTGTGTTCTAACACAGTCTGCGAATTTTATCTGGGCAATGCAACATGTACAGTGGTAGTTTACAACATTGGTTGACAACTTAGTTAAAAGTATCATTAACTAAAATTTTAATCATACATTTAATTGCATCTCAACCACCCACATTATGCCACATCATGTTGTCATTGAATGTTGTACAAAAAAAATTATACAAGTAGCTTTTTCTATTCTATAATACCCCACCCTCGTTTCAGATTTCAACATTGGACTTCTTTAATGGGATAAATTGAAAATTGGTATATTTGTCTGTGCTTTGAAACCCGTGATAGGATAATAGATATGAGCAAAAATGATAAAAAAATACCACATGTAGTGTAAACTTGGTAAAGGACTTTGTAGATTAATGAGGAATAAAGAAGTTGAAGAATTTACATGGAGAAATGGCTTGTGGTTACACTTACACATTCTTGAAAAGTTTGAAATTGAAAATTTGCCTGGTGGTTACAAATTCTTAAATAGTACTACCTCTTTTTTTAAATAAATGTCGTTTTGACTTTTTTGATTCATCCATTTTTTAATGTCTAGATACATAGCAAAATGGATGAATCAAAAAAGTCAAAACGACATTTATTTAAAAAAGGAGGGAGTATGATATTAAAATTTAGTGTAGATAAGTATGATGATGGAGCATATAGATAAAGATAAAAAAAATTGGTATAATATAGATTTTAATAATAATAGTGATTAGATGGGGTGTTACACTAAATATAACTATCCATCTTCTAGGGATTGAAATATCCCAAAATTAAACACAGAAGGTGAAAATTTAGTATAAACAAGTCTTTAAGGAGATCAATTTCCATCAATGCCTCTATTCAAAATTAAGGACAAAATGTGGAAATGTGTACACATGCTTCTAAAGAATTCAATTTCCATACATGCATGCAAGTAAATTTCACAATCAAACACATGATCAACTTTAAAAAAAGCAAGTCAATAATCCTGATGCACTAGGCTATAACAAGAAAACACATCTAAATGCCAGCAGTTCGGCGTCCGTCTGACGAACATTTAATGCGATTTGAGGTTTCTTCAATCATTGCCTGTCGGGCATTAAATGCCAGCATGGGGGGCATTTAATGCTGGATGGCTTTGCTGACTCAGGCTGGCTGGTAGGGGGCTAGGCCATGATTACCTGTCACATCGTCCAGTGATGACCTCCCAAGTGGGAATATTTTAATGTTCATTGAGGCCCGCGCGTCGTCTCTGGTCGGCCTCCTCATACTTTCAG